CTTATGAGCCTATTTGCAGGGCAGGAATAGAGACACAGATGTAAAGAGTGCACTTGTGAACACAGTGGAGAAAGAAGAGGGTGGCGATGAGAGAGTAGCACTGACGTATATACACTACCATGTGTAAAGTAGATAGCTGGTGGGAAGCTGCCGTGTAGTACAGGTAACTCAGCTCCATACTCTGTGATGAACGGGGGTGGGGGGGGGGGGAATGGAAGTGGGTGTGGGAAGGAGGCTCCAGAGGAGGGGATATATGCATACTTACAGCTGATTCACGTTGTACAGCAGAAGTTAACACAATATTGTAAAGCATTTATACTCAAATTTTTAGAAGTCTCAAGTATTGCTGTGAAATTAATTTTTCCTTTTAAAATTTCTGTTTTTGCTTCGTGTATTCTGAAACTCTGTTATCAGGTACATGCACATTTAGGATTGTTATGTCTTGATGAATTGGCTCATCATTATTAAGTGTACTAGTCTTTTCTTAAGTCTACTTTGTTATTATACCTCCACTGGTATTTTTCATGCAGTGTTTTCATGGTATCTCTTTTTTAATTGTAATTTATTTGTATCTTTAAAGTGCTTCTCTTATAGACAGTACAGGTATGCCCTGCTTTTTGAAAGTTTGCTTTACCTACTTCACTTTGATAAAAGACCTATATTGGTACCTGTTTTTACTAAATCAAAGAAATCTGAAGAGGATTTTCACTTATACAAAAAGAGGTGAAAAGTGAAAATAGCTTTCAGTGTTTGTTTTGCAGTGAGCTGTTGTAGAGAGGCAGTGCAAACTCTCAGCATCAAGAGTAGCACCTCTGAGCTCCTTCCCTGGGAACTGCACTTAACATCAAGCCACCATAGCTTTGAGCACCTTGCTTTACCTTGATTTATTTTGTGCATCTGTTAGCAAGATGTGTGCTAATTGCTTTTCTACTTTATGCCATTTTGGCTTACAAAAGGTTTTCACAAGAATGCTCTACTTTCGGATAGTAGAGGAGACCTGTATATGGTTGAGTCTTGCTTTTTCATACAAGTTAACAACCTTTGTCTTTTAACTGGAGTCCATTTACACTTAATATAATTACAGATATGGTTGGATTTAAATATGGCATCTTGCTATTTGTTTTTTTAATTGTTCCATCTTTAGATCTTTAGTTTCTCCTTCCTTTCCTGACTTCTTTTGGGTAATTAGAATACTTTCAGCTGTGCTTCTTTGTGCTACTTCAAATAAAATACCACTTATCCATATAATTTCATTATGCAAATAATACCTTAGTTAAACTTGTATTCAGTTTAGGGTATGCCAAAAGAGACTTAATAGAGGGTACATAATGAGAGTGGGGCTCTCTGGTGGCAGAAACAAACGTTCCTACCAAAACTCTTTTGGAAGCTGACCCTACACTTCTTTTCCATCACAGAATGGAACCATGACCCAGTAAATGTTAAGCTAACACAATAGTCATGGAGAAGGCAATGGCTCCCCACTCCCGTACTCTTGCTTGGAAAATCCCATGGACGGAGGAACCTGGTGGGCTGCAGTCCATGGGGTTGCTAAGAGTTGGACACAACTGAGCGACTTCACTTTCGCTTTTCACTTTCATGCACTGGAGAAGGAAATGGCAACCCACTCCAGTGTTCTTGCCTGGAGAAGCCCAGGAACAGGGGAGCCTGGTGGGCTGCCGTCTATGGGGTCGCACAGAGTTGGACACGACTGCAGCGACTTAGCAGCAGCAGCAGCAGCAACACAATAGTCAAGACATAAAGTACATATTCGTTTATCATTGCAGTGACTCTAAGTGGAGTATAGCCTGTATACTGTCACACTCTTCAGTCACTTCCTTCTTCCTCTGTACTAGGATATAAGGAGCCACCTTGAGAAATATGAAGTAACTTTCTTCCAATTAAATGTGTCAGACAAGCATCATTTTTGTGTAATCAAACAAGTAATTTGTGAGCAGCTTGATACCACCCTTAGAAGTTTGCAATTTAGTTGAGAAAGCATTTATGTAATTTTATTATGTGTTTATGTTTATTATATAAATTTCCTGTATGTTTAGGGCTTCCTAGGTGGCTCTCCTGGAATGTGAAGTCAAGTGGGCCTTAGAAAGCATCACTGCGAACAAAGCTAGTGGAGGTGATGGAATTCCAGTTGAGCTATTTCAAATCCTGAAAGATGATGCTGTGAAAGTGCTGCACTCAATATGCCAGCAAATTTGGAAAACTCAGCAGTGGCCACAGG